GGGAGCTGGCATTCAAGGAACTCGGAGCTTGGAAAGCTCTTCCTCTCTACCCTGAGCTCAGCTACAACTGTCTAAAGAAATTACTTTAAACCAGTCTCAGGCAATTTAAGAGTGAATTTTGCGCTGCTGGAACCCACTGAGTCCCTGATAAACAGTCCAGGGGTGTGTTATCCTCTGACAACATCTGCTCTAGCTCACAACTCGTGTTGTACACCCAATACCCAGCCAGGCCAGCAGCGAGGAGTCAGGCAGTGCCATTCCACACGCATTTTGAAGCGCTGGCTGGAGAGAGCAAGGGGAAAATGGGAGATTCAAGTCTTCGAAAGGACAAGTTAGCTCCAAAAGGGTGCACAAGGAGAAACAAGCCGCTTTTCACAGCTTGAACTAACCCTAAAGGATGCAATCATCACTTGACAGGGTTCATTTTCAGCTGGTCATGCATCTGGAGGGGAGATGGTCTCTTCAGGGGGTGTTTATGGAGAATATGGGGTGAAAGGGCAGCAACCAGAACCTACTGTATGACAGTCTTCCGGTTACTTTCCAGGCAGCTTCTGAGCTCTTCCAGAATTTTGCAGCACTTGGCAATGTCAGGAGCATCCCCATCAGGAATAGGGTAGTGGTGCACGCAGATCTCATGCTGGTGGTAGGCGTCTATAAGGTTGGGTACTCTGTATTTTAAGAGCTCTCCTCTGGTACAGAGCACGAATACATCCTGGGTCCCATAGTTCTTTAGTTCTTCTGCCAACAGATTAAGACACTTGCAAATAAACAAAAGCCTATCAAGCTTAAGGCTGAACAGATAAGCTACTTGCTATTGATTCTCTTGTTTAATCTTTGAGGTTAAGACAACAGGAGTTTGCAATTTTGCTTCAAGCAGCATTTACTTCTACTGAGTCTCTCCCACATTTGCCTTCAGGGAACCCACGAGAGGAATTTTCTCAGCTCAGAGCGAGTCTCAAGACCTGCCTCACTCGGAAGCACATCAGCTCTGAGAACAGCCTGTTCGCTGCTGCCAGCCTAAGCATGATTCTGTCCCATCTCCAGCCGTAACCATGTCCAAACACTGCGGAGTTTTTGCTATTAGGCTCTGCTCTTCTAGTGTTTACAGGTGAATACTAGGCACAAATCTTTACATGATTTCAACTTCTCTATCCCAATCTCACTTTTCTCTGGGAAAAGGAGATCACAAGTTTGTAGTTCTTCTTGGTCCTAGGCGATTCGAAGATGCCTTCTCCTGCACATGACTTAGCAGACCTCATGGTCACTGGGAAAGACATGCAGATGCCTGTATAGCTCCTGCCTGGAAATACCCTGACTGTTTATTCAGTGTTTGGTAAAGAAGCCACAGAGAAAGTGGCACTGCACACTTGAAAGCAATACCTAGTTCTCATAGCGGTGATGGTGCCAAGGTATTTGTGGCATCTTCAAGCACAAACCTCAGAAAGACAGCGCTGTCAGACAGCCCCCCAGCAAGGCTCTGTAAAGAGCTGCCCTGCGTTCTAACATCGTGGCACGTATGTGGACAACTATAGCGTGAACAGTACGGATAAGATGCCACCACGAATCCTTATGCCCAGATTAGATAAACTCCAGCAGTCTCCAGACTAAGGCAAGGTAAACCTCTAGCTTTTCAGTAACTTCTGCTCTCAGTTTACCTGCACGTTGTTCTTGCCCATTACATGGAAGTGAGAGGCACTTGCACACTGGCCAGAAGACTCACCTATATCTCTCTGAAGATTTCTTCTAACATCCTTAAACCTGCAACCTAAAACAAATGATGGATGACAGTTACCAATCCAGGTGAGTGCCATGTATGGAATGGCTGCTACAGCTGAAGAACAGAGCACAAAAACCTCCCAGCAAAAAGCAAGCAACAAAGCCACACCCCAAAGAAAAGACTGTTCTTATTTCTGCAAATAGATCACTAGCACAGAAGACAGTTTAAACACCATTATCTGCTTAATGCTGTAATGCAATAGGATTAAAAGAGATCTGCCCAAGGTTTTAAGCTGCTGTGCGTTTTCCAGATGAAAAGTTTTGGATATTATAAATCATGGTGTGGCTTAAAAACAAAAACACATGAAAACCCCACAAAACACTCACAAACCAAAAGGGCTGGATATGGATCACTCAAGAGTTGTCTGGTAGGAAAGTAAGTTCCCTGTTGTGTAATATTCAGCACAAACCACTTAAAAAACCCTTTTAACTATTCAGTCTTGTTTAGTCTGGGACGTGTAATTGCTCAAAATATTCGCACCATGTCCTCCCTCTGTCTCCCCTCCTTCACTCACAGCCCCCAGGGACACAATCTTTGTGCCTGCCCCAGCAACAGTCAGGACTGTGCATATCTTGAAACACCTTTTGAAAGTCTGACAGCAGAATCCTGCAGGCCAAGAGCTGTGTCAGCAGGGCTGTGACTGGAGGTTAGCATCTACAGAGCAAACAGCTATTACATGAACAGCTCAGGTGATGATAATTATAATAAAAACCATAATGCACTGACTGGAGGTTAGCATCTAGAGAGCAAACAGCTATTACTTGAACAGCTCAAGTGATGATAATTATAATAAAAACCATAATGCAGCCATTTTTTGGCATATATGTTAACTGGTGTTCAAGCGTTGGTGGGATTTTCATTCGCACTGGCCACCACCTGCTTCAAAATACCTTAAATTCAAACATTATTCAACACTTGTTTACTAGTCCTTTAGTGTGGTGTTAGTCCCAAGCTTGTATTTCTCAGAGCTGGCTCATGAAATTTGAATAACTGCTTTAAGTGAAGTAAAAAACTGTCCCCACCAGCAGTTCCATCTCCTTTGGGACCACAGGAGATTCACCACAGCTGCAGTTTTGGTAGTTAAAAATACAGTGAAAGCTTGTATGTTTATTTTTATATCATGGCCATGGCAGTGCAACCCAGGTGCTAAGGTACAGAACTGTCAGCACAGCAAGTGAGTGTAATTTGAGCTCAGTATATCTTACAAAGGAATTATTTGTCAAAGCAGTCTTGTTTCACTGTTGCTGCTTGTTACAAATAGCAAGCCAGGCTAAAAAGCCAAACATAAAAAGATAAATTTAACTGACAATGGAAGACAGCCACTATTTTCTTAACACTCTGCCACGTGATCTTGCATTAAGATATTCTCTAGATTAGCTTTGCGATTTCCAAAACAATTATTCCAGTGGTAGATTATAAAACAAGTCACCTCACCAAGTAAATGCCACACAGAATTCTGGGGTACAAGGTATCACCTCTCTTCAGCTTCAAACATGCCTGAAAATTTCAGTGAATGCTTCTTACCTGGAAGTGAACATAATCCCAGGAATTTAGAAGAGTAGACAGGAGACAAAGACAGCCTATCAGGAAATAAAAAATAAATTAAAAAAAAATCAGAACAGAACATTTTGATTATTTGAACAGAGAGAACTCACTACTAGACATTCCTTTTCTGTGGGACCACAAGAAGAGGTACATACCTATAATTAAGTTTTAAGAATAAAATGGAAGTATTCCAGTGTTATTTCTGAACCAACAAACAAGGGAATTACATGTTTGATAGCGTACTTCATCACATACCCCTGCTCAACAGGAAGAAAGTGTTGACAAATCCCGGCCTTTGCACCAAGACACTTGGCCTAGCACGACTGACGGTGACTAGCAAACGCTTCCAAAAGCGGACCTGGCCCCACATCCACTGGCAGTTCACCAGCACCAACTTAGTCCCTTTTCAGGGGCATCATCAGGCAAAACACAACCTCTGTCCTTGCTCTGGCAGGTCACCAGAGCTCAGCACAGATGTCCTTCAGGAAAAAACTCCCGTTTCACAGAACGGTTTGGGTTGGAAGGGACCTTAAAGAACATCTAGTCCAACCCCCTGCCACGGGCAGGGACACCTCCCACCAGACCAGGTTGCTCCCAGCCCCATCCAGCCTGGCCTTGAGCACTG